ATCTGACGCAGATTGAGGCCTTCGGGCTGGCGCAGAGCAGGCCAAGGAAGTTGACCGAGGCGCGCGGAAGAGGAGGAAGGACGACGAGGAGGAGGAAGCGACATTCGATGATCCAGGATCGAACAGCTTTTGGCAGTGCATGTGTTTTGCCTCCACGTGTTTGTTTCGTCACCACGGCTGGAATCCATTCGACATGTTGGCCAAAGCGTACCCCAGGAGAGGTCTGGGGGCAGATGTTTGTTGTCAGTGGCCCTGGCCCGGACTCGTCGTGACAAAAATTACAACAGAAGGTCTTTGGCGTTTTCCTGGTCCTGGGTGTCCTGACCAGGCCCCAGGACCACCAGGAATTTCACAAGAGGGAAAACTGGTCCGGGGGAACGGGTCGTCAAAAACAAGTCGTCCAGGAAGGACGAGTTGTAGGAAGAAAATGAGGGCGATCGGGTCCGTAGTCATTTTGGTGCAAGTTGTTATCTCTCGAGGCAAGTGGCCAAATCAGAAACGCTTCGGATCTTCATCCCACGAGGTATTCAATCGTGGATGGGTGCGTTCATGTGCGTTCAGGCTAACGGGATTTGTCCCTCTACACGATCCATCCCACCAACGTGCACCATTTCATGAGGCGCAATGGCGTTGGAAATGGAAACGCATCCTGCGCGGATGTTCAGACAAAAAGCGAAGGATGGTGGCAGTGGTGTAAGCACTGGAGCCCGAGTCGGACATATGCACAAGCAAACGGTTGGCCCAAGCCGCTGAGAGTTTGGGTGTGCCGTCACCTCTTCCTAGCCTTCCCGATGATCGGGCGCGCGGCCGCATCCCGACCGAGCGTGCTTCAGCGAGGCCTGTCCTTCAGCGCGGGCAGCGATTGAGAGCAGGGCCGCCAAGATACCTGTCGACCTCGACCGTTGCGCTGTGTCGCAAGAGTCTTGGGATGGTCTGGGCCGCGCTTTCCCCACCGATGTTCGAGCACGCGGGCCAGCCCCGTGCGTCGCGGGCATCGTTCCCGGTCGCACATCAGTCGTCGTTCGCCTTGGGAGTTTGCGTTCCCATATCGCGATCACGGGACACGCTGATGTCGACCAAACGCTGCATTGAGTTAGCGCCCGCGGTGCGCAAACGAGTAAGAATCGGCCGAGGCATCGCGGACCGAGGAGTTGATTGACGGCGCATAGATCCCGATATTGGTCTTTTGCGTTTTGGGTTCCTTCAAGGGTTGTCCTTTCGCTGACCATGCTGCTGCTGTAAACTTCTGGTGGGTCAGCCGCCGCGTGCTTCTGAACCTTGCATTTGCATTCGTTAATCGCAAACGGTTGCCAAAACGGGCTCAGGTTCAGGACGGCACTCTCGCACAATAGACGCTCGAGCTTGCGGACCTCCATCTTGGCTCTGGCGGCTGCCAGGCTCAGGAGGCCCGATGGCAAAGCATCCTCAGGTACGCGTTGTTGTTGAAGATATGTTTCTGATAGTGGATGCGATCGTATTGCGCGTTCTTGCTGGCCAGACGCGACGACAGCATTGGCGCCGCGGCCTGGGCACCGTCCAACGTCGAACTGATCACCAGCTTGGGCCGAGCTGTCGGCCGCAGCTTCGGCGCGGCCACCGCTGTCTCCCAGCAGCTGGTGCGGCATCCGCTCGCTACGCCGCAAGATACCTCCTCGGGTTGCCCTGCTGGCGCTGCATCATCTCCAGACCCTTCAGGTCGCCGCAGCACTTCTGACAGATCTTGATATCCTGGAACTGGTTGCCGTTGGCCTTCAATCGTTCCGCGCCGTTCTGGAATATTGGAGTCAATTCCTCGAGAGTTGCCCAATTCGCGGGTGCCTTATTGGTGCCTAGCATCTCCTTAGCGTGCGCCAGTTGATGCTTCCACTCCAGCGCGGCCTCCTCTTGGATGGTCCCAGGCTCCTCCAGTAAGGGCTGCTTCTCCGGATTCGAAGGTGCGAATGCTTCTCCCTCACTCGATGCTCAGAGAGGCCAGGTCCGCCCAGCAGGTCACGTTCATCGCGAAGTCTATGTCATTGACATGCTCGTTCACGCGGCGGTGAAAGCTGAATTCCTCCTAGGATATATCGTCCATCAGTATTGCTTGAGTTGCTTCTTCGGCTTGCTGGCTCCGCGTAAGAAAGCAGTCGTTGTGTTGCCGCGTTTCCTCGGTATCCTGCAGCATCCACTCGCCGATCTCGGTCGTCGTCGGGAAGTGCTCGCACGGCGTCCTCTCGCTGCGCTTCTCTGCCAAGGCGCCGCCAGCTGCTCTCGTTGACCTTCTGCTTGTAGAGGCCGTCTTCGAGCAACGCAAGTGCGAAGAGGCTCGAGCAGGCATTCCTGCGCCTGGGCATCGCACCCGCCCCGAGGGCGTGAACTGTTATGGAGAGACCAGGAGTTCGAATGTTAACTTGCTGATTTGTTAAGTTGAAAAATGTCCAGCTCTCTCTCTCTCTCTCTCTCTCTCTCTCTCTCTCTCTCTCTCTCTCTCTCTCTCTCTCTCTCTCTCTCTCTCTCTCTCTCTCTCTCTCTCTCTCTCTCTCTCTCTCTATATATATATATCTCTCTTTCCGTCTTGTTTTTTTCTCGCAGCGAGAACGGCGCAGGTGCAATCTGATGTTGTTGCAGATGTCGTATGATGTGTAATAACGCTATGATCCATAGCGCGTGCTATCCTGAGGGCCGTAGCCACGTTCGGTTCCATTCATGAAGCTTCTGTAAATGATAGCGCACAGGTTCGTGGTCATGTCGCATATGAGTCCCCAGCGTTGGCGATGATCTCTTGCGCGACGCTGCCGACGGTGTAAACGCGAGCATTCGCCCCCTACGTTTGCTCCGACATCGGCAGGGAAGAACGAATAATTAATGCCGCAGTGGCAGTGCTCCTGATGGCTGCCACTGTAGGAGGAGCCATGATCATAAGTGGTTTGCACGATGCACCTTGATCGGCCCCTTGTGGCATTGGCTTCGGTTCAAGGATCCCACAGACAGCCGGGGGCGCCTCAACTCCACGTCGCCGCGCAGGCGTCGCTGGCGAGCGCCGCGGGACGCCCGTCACCAGGCGGCCGTTGCCGAGCCGCGGCAGGCCGAAGTCCTGCGCGAGGTTCCTGACCACGGCAACATCCTGCCTCGAAGTCGACGCAGCGCCCCAAGTCTCGCCCAGGCCTGCGAACGCGAGTTGGCCCGAGATCTCGGCAACTATGATCGGGATCGCGATGCGACCCGAGTTGGTCTCTTTCGTACCACTCGCGAACGTGAATTCGGCCTCGTAGCTTGAATCGACTGTTAAAGTTAACATGTCTTGACCGCATTGGTGTAGGACCTCGTCTTGGTCTGCACTGAGCAAGGGGAACTCTGCTATGCTCTGCGAAGCTCCACTGTAGCACGCGGTCTGGCACTTTTGCGCGTTGCAGAAGCTACAGGCCGCGAAAGTGGCGAACCCCCACCCCTCGAGCGCAGCGATCGCGCACCCAACGATGCCGCTGGACGAAGGTCGTCAAGGTTCTTCAGTTCGGCGCAGTCCTTGGTGAAGTGATCGACCTTGCCACACTTCAGACAGTTACTGATTTGTCCTCCTGGATGTAGGGCTCGCTGCGGTCCTCGGCGATGCTGCGTGATTCCGTTGCGCCCGGCAACGTTGCGCTGCTCGGATCCACGCTGAAAGGGCCCCCCAGGGAGATCGTTGTACGAGTTGTTGTCCAGCGCGTCGTTGGCCATCTCAAGATCGGCAGGGTCGGCCTCGGCCGCCACTGGCATATTGTGGCGGGTTCGGTTGTCGAGTGGTTTTGTTCTGCATGAGTAAGTCGCGCGCCTCCTTGAAGGTGCGTCGGGCCCGTCGCATGACAGCTTCTTGTTCGGTGTCCGGTCTCGAATGACGTCGTCGCCGAAGAAGGCACCGTGTTTCTCGTCCTCGCAGGCGGCGTCGCCTTCCCCCTGCTCTTCTCCGTCGAAGTCCAGGCCGTCAGCGATATGAGACATCCGCCCGCGTCGACGCCGCAAATTGCCCCCGGGCCAGTTGCTGGTGCAGTTCGAGCCTGCAGGATACTATCGTTTGGGCATTCGTAGCAATTCGATGAGAGGACGTCAACTCGTTCTGTCGGATCGAGGCCACTGCTGCGCGGCAGCAGCGTTCCACGTAATTCGTTGTCCAGGCATTGCTGTGCATATGCTTCTGCCGCTGCTCCTCGCGCGCGTCCGAAGGCCCCCTGCAGCTTGTGATATAGCTCATGCCCCCCTGTTGCCCTTGACGACCATGCTCCTTCTCTTCATGGGGGCCCGTTGTGCAACGCATTACAAGAACGTGTTCTCGAGATCGATCGGCGCCCGGCTCCCGGGCTGAGCCCCGAGGCACCCCGCGCGCGTTTGAGCTCCAATCTCCTTGCCAAGGCCAGTCGCTGAGAAAGCCGCCGCCTGTCTCTTTTGAGCGCTGCCGTCTGCCATCATTCCGGTCGGGCGCGCCCCGCGCAGAACTCGATATTCTCGCTTTGTCCCAGCAACGTATATGCGAACATTCTCGATTCAGTCACCGATGGTCTTCAGCGCGGGATGACCTCGCGCTCGCCCTGCCGGGCCACTGTTCAAAGTCCGCGTTCGATCCGCGTTCTCGAATGGAAGATCCGCTGTGCCAACGTCGTAGCATCGGTGTCGGTGCTGATTTTGAGTTGTCGATCAGTCTTGGAAATCATTGCACGAGACTGCACAATACATGTAAGAAGCCGAACCAGTTCAAACAAGAAGAGAGGCACCTCGCGCGTCGGACTGTCGGGGCAGCGCCTGACGCGCCAGATTCCTGCAAAGGATTGGGCCGCGTTTCCTCGGATCACGAGCCAGCTTTGCGATCGGGGCCGACATGCCATCAGGTGCGCTCATTCACACTGTGCTCCTTCTCGCTGCTTCGTGCTGGTGCTGAGATGCTGCCCTGCTGTGGCTGTCATTTTGGAATCCCTGTCAAGCAGTGTCAGTCCCCCCCCCCCCCCCAGCACTTTCCCAATCCGAACACACCTATCCCTCCAGCATTTGCCATGGCTGGCATCAATCGCGTTGGCGATCAGGCGAAGGACGCTCGCGCAGCGGTTTAGCCCCGCCGGGGCGCCCCGCGAGGCTCCGCGCCAGGAGCCCGCGGGTGCCCCTGCAGATGCGGCATCGGCGGACGGCGGCAAGCGCGCTGCGCCCTCGTCGCCGGCCCCATTCGACGAGCCGCAGTGCAAGTGGCCGCAGCAGGCGATGGGCGCCACCCTCGAGACCTTCGGGCAACACGTCGACCAGCGAATCCAGGGGGTCGAGGACAAGGCTGACCAGGCGCTCCGGGACGCCGACGACCTCAGGACTGAGATGAACTGGCAGATGGCTGAATTCAGGAAGAAGCAGGACGCCACAGAGAAGGCCTTGGCGGAGCTGACGAAGAAGCACGATGAGACCGACAAGGCAATGAAGGACCTCCGGCAGCGCGCCTCGCCCGCGCCCCCGACGATGGCCAGCGCCCCACACCGCCTCCAGCAACCCGCCATCCCGTGCGAGTAGCGCACTGTTGCCCGCATCGGCGACCTCGGATGGGACCTCCAGCGAGAGACGCTATTCGAGCGCGCGCGCCGTCGCCGACGTTTCTGGTTTCTGGTGCAACCCATGGCCCGCTCTCTGCTGTCGTCGGCCGCTCCGGCCAAGGCAGTTGCACGGAGCTCACCTTCAACGCGCCAGCCGGCTTGCAGGCAGCCAGGAGCTTAGTGCGGAACATGCGCAAGACCTTCCACGACAACCGCTTGGCGTGGCTCGACGCGAAGAAGGAGCGCTCCGAGCTGCGGCCCGCCCATCCTATCGATAGGTCTTTCGAGTTCATCTCCGACCTCGAGGCCCAGCGCCAACAGCCCATGCAGGTTGAGAGGGGCCTCGCCCACAAAGTGGTTAAGATCGGTACCGATCGCTGCTGCTTCCCGTTGGACGGCATGCTTCACTTCACGCATTGGGCGAAGCAGCACTTCAGCCAGGAGGAGCTGGACATGGTTAAGTCCTTCGCGGAGGCCGACTGACCATCTGCCAGCCGGGCGGTCATTGCGGCGGCGAACGCGTCGCGGGCCACGGGGAGCGAGCCTTCCAGAGGGGCATTCTGGAAGTTACTCAGGGCTTCGATTCCGGAGTGGTCGCTCGCGTTCATCTCCGAGTACGACGGGCGCGCCAGGGGAGCTACGCCACGGCATGGATCGCGCGTAGGCGCCTGGCGCCCTTAATCAGATCAGTAGTTTGGATGGGCCGACGTGGCGATATCCATGTCTGGTCTGCCTCTTCCCCCCCTCCTCGCCCCCCCCCCTTCCCCCGCGGTCTCACCATTAGATTAGAACATATGTCTCGTGAGCTTCCACGGGGGGCACGGGGGGGCGATCGACGGCAGCCTGCGCGATCTCGCTTTTGTTATCCGGGGCTGGCCGCTCGGCAGCAACGTCGTGGTCGCGAGGGATTTAAACGCAGACCAGTTGCCGCGGCGCCCACCCGACCCGCGGCCCCCCCAGCTCGGCCGGGGGGTCCGTCGCCATTTAGCCCGCGAGTCGCCCGCTAATCCAAGCAGCGCTTTTAACCTCGACATTCGCCTCCCCCCCCCCCTCCCCCCACGGCCTGGGCGGCCCGCGCAATGTTGTTTGCTTGGCCGCCCCCGTCACCAGGGCCCCTGGTGGAGACATGGCTGAGGAGATCAAGCCGAGTCTGTTGGATCATGCTCTGGCGTCGCCTGCTGCAGTCGTTCGACCGACGACTCATCGGGCCTCTCGCGGGGGCCACGCGTTGCTTCAGCACGCCCTCGGGCACAAGGCCAAGGCGCGGCGCCGTGGCAAGACACATTGGGTTTATAAGGATTTCGAGGCTTGCCTTGAGTGGTCGAGCTCTGCCCTCGCCCCCCCCCCCCCCGCCCCCGTGCCCAGGCGCCCCCGCCGAAGGTGTCTGCGCAGCTGCTTTCGCAGCCCTGCGCGGTGGTTGGTCTGACAACCGCGCATGCGCGGCACGGTCTGCGGCGCGCCTGCCATCGCAGCCCCGGGATTTGCATCGGCGAGCGGCCGAGGCCCCCTCTGAGGGCGAGCGCGCGCGGCTCCGCCGCCAGGCGCGGCATCTTCTGCAGGCGCGCGCGCGCCAGGAGCGGACGCGGAAGGCCACGGTTACCATCGGGCAGGGTCGGGTGCTTAGGACAGCTTCCAACTTGCGATCCGTTTCCGGGATGCACCTGCCATCTCTGCCCAACCCACCAGATGCCGAAGTGCAGTACCAGTGCCAGTTATCGCATTATCCAGCCGAGTGGGCCGCGGCGGTCAAAACAGACGACCCAGCATCGCCCCTCCCTTCGTTGGATGTTGTCTTCGCGGCGGAGGGGCACGAGCCCAGATTCATTGCTGCAGATGTGTTGGGCGCGCTCGCCCGCCCCAAAAAATAGCGACAAACTTGATCATAACGGGCGTTGTGTGCGCGTGCACGATATGATATAGAAGTGCGCTCCCGGCCCCACCACTCGCTACTAGTGGCTTCTAGCGCTGCCATGTCCAGGATTGGCGTTGCAGGGCACGCGAGGGGGCAGGAACCCTCCACCCCCAAACCCACGCAGCTCTGAGCCATCATGCCCCTCCCGGCGGATCTCCAAGTTCTGGATTGTTTGATCGCTCAGCGCCGCAACGCATGGATCGACGAGCGCGCTGCTGTGCCTCAGCGCTGCTGGGTTGGAGCCCGGCCATGCACTGGACATCGCACGCGCTTTGCACTTCGTTATCGAGAGAGGTCTGGACAACCGCAGCCAGTCGGCAATGGCTCAGAGCGATATTGAAGCCCATCATGACCCTCTCCTTGTTTTGGGCGCGTTGCAGCGGCGCGTGTCTCGAGGGATGCCGTTGGCGCTCGCGGCAGCAGCGGCGCGCCATCAGTTGCTCCCAGTAGTGAGTGTGCGCGTTGGAGACGTGGATGCGGAGCTTGGTAAGCGATCCCGCGGAAGTCTCACTGGGAGCCGGGTGGCCGGTGCTTTGGGCCGCATCCCAGTCGAGGCAACTCTCGGGAAGATGTCGGATGTCTGCCGGCAACGGGGCTTCCTGTTGGGCGAGTTCCAGCAAGTAGCCATTGCCACACACGTGGACAACATTTATTCCGTCAGAAAGTCCCTGTATAGTGTTACGGGCTCGTTGGGTGTGTTCCAGTTCCATCTTTCCTCCGATTGGGGACTCCGTCCGCATCAAGGATTCCAGCAAATCACGCATGGTTGCTGCAGGAGGGGGCGCATCCGTTTTAGACCCAGCTGTTTGGAGACCGCCAGAGTCTTCTGAGGCTTTGGGCCACATCCTGGAAGATACGGGATCGTGCACGATGTGTGTTGATAGGACTATGACCGCCATGTGGCGTGCGTTTTGGGCCATTTGTGCCACGCACCGCCTGCGAGACGCCCCCCTGCGGCAACGTCTTCGCATGCGATCGCTCTGTGCTGCCAGTGTTCGATTATCGACGCAGCCGGTGGCCGCCCGCTGCAACCCCGGAGAGACGCATCGGCACCTGTCAGCGCCGCATGGTCAGCCTTCTGATGCGGGCGCCGCGACAAGCTGGTGAAGAGGCGCCGGTCTACTTCCGCCGCAGAGCCCGGGAAGCCAAGGATCTTTGTAGACAGAGGCTTTGGTGGAGCTATCGCCATTGCACTCGAGTTCTGAATTGGCGAGAGCACCTCAAACGGCCGCGAAACTGTCGTTCTTGGGCGGCGCAGATCCTACACTGGCAAGGAGAGCGCTGGCTCCAAAACCGGAGGACGCAGCTGAACAGCTACAGCATTCATGCCGGACGTACGGATACGAGATTGGCAGCGCGTCGTCCACGACAGCGGTGGCACGATGGAGCCAGGTTTGCTTTAGAGCACGTGCTGCCTGGCTCGCACCTGTTTTTGACCCTCTCTAGTCCCTCCCCCCCCTCCTCCTCGCATGAGCATGAAGTCGTTCAGTAGTTCCAGCGTTGCAGCGGGCAGTGCGCCTGCATTGCACCACTCTTCGCGTAGTGCGTTTTACTCACGCGGCTTGCGGCGTTACCCCGCCTGTTGATTTGGATTCTGAGGAGGAGGAGGACGACGAGGACGAGGAGGAGGAGGAGGAGGGGAAAGACGAGGAAGAGACCAGTGTAAACCCAAGACCGACCAACACTATTGCAATACACCCTCCCTCCAAGTCCCCTGCGCATAGGCCCCATACAAGGATTTAGTTTCACCGACGGAAGCGCCCCGTTGGAGAACAACCATGTCAAATTCCTGAACTACGCCAGGGGACCACTCCTGTGAATTCAGCGCCTCGAATCGCCGCGATTGTTGCGTATTGACGATCCTGAATCGCGTCCAGACTGTCTACCTGGGACGGGAGGAGGAGGAGGAGGAGGAGGAGGAGGAGGAGAAGGAGCACCAGTGCGAACCCAAAACCCATCGACGATATTGTCATACACCTTGCAAAGTTCCGCTTCATTGGCCCTTAACTAGGTTCATGCTCATTGAATAAAGTGCCCCGCTGGATAACCACTGTTGGAACATATGTAACTGCGCCAGAACACCGTTCTTTTGAATTCAACGCCGCAAATCACAGTTACGGTTGCGTTTTGAAGATCCTAAATCGCGTCCGCACACTACCCCTGGAAATTCAGTGCCACGAATCAGCGTAACTGTTGTGCCCTGATAGTCCGCCATCGTGCCAAACATTTTTCTTAGGACGCTAGCCAGGAGAATCCTTGAAACTGCTGCAAGCTCTTCAACCGAATTTGCGCGGCGCTGATGCGAGAGCTGCGTTTTGAAACCGGGCCGCCCTCCATCCGTGAAACGTTTGGAGATTTGTCAGTCGAGTGCGCGCGGCGCTCAGGCGAGAGCCACATTTTGAAAACGGCTTGCCCTCCCACCGTGAATTTCTTGCAAGCTTCAAAACGCGCGCGCGGAGCTCAGGCGAGAGGCACATTTTGAAAGCGACCTGCCTCCAAACGTTAGATTATTGCAAGTTTCAAAACGAGTGTGCGCGGCGTTCAAGCGAGGGCCGGATTTTGAAAGCGACCCGCCCTCGACCCGTGACAAGTATTTCGCATGTTCAATACGAATGCGCGCGGCGCTAGGGCGAACGCCACATGTTGAAAACGACCCGCCCTCCATCTGTGAAGCTCTTGCGAATGTTTGAGACGAGTGCGCGCGACACTTAGGCGACAGCCGCATTTTGGAAACTGCCCGCCCTCCATCCGTGAAACTTTTGCAAATATTTAAGACGAGTGTGCGCGGCGCCAGGGCGTGAGCCACATTTTGAAAACAACTTGGTTTCCACCCGCGAAACTACTGGAAGTTTGTAAGACGGATGCGCGCGGCGCTCAAGGCGAGAGCCACATTTTGAAAACGACACGCTTTCAACCGCGAAAGCGTTGCAAGTTTTGAGCGTCAGGGCCACGAGTGGTGAGAAAGTGTCAGGCGAAACGCCCCGCCCGCCCTTTCGACCGGCCTCGTCGTGTGTGTGCAAAGTCAGAGCTTAGATTAGTCATCAACCTCGCTTTTTCTTGGTATGATCAACCGAAGAATTCCTTTCTCTCCGCTTCTGCTCCTCGGTGCGCCGCTCGCGTTCCCCTCCGGCTCTTATCCTTCGCCCCGCTTTTCTATCCTTAGCCACTCCTTGCCCCCATTCTCCGCCATTCGGTTGGCCCCAGAGGTGGCCCTCGAGGCTTTTGTATCAGACCTCCCCTCCTCTCTTCTTCGTCGTCCCTCCCCTGCGTGACTGTCCAGACCGTTGCGGCACATGCACGAAACACACACACACAAACAAAAATTGTTGTTCTGTCATGTTTTGCTCGGGTATGTTTTGTGCTATGCTGGTGTCCTCTAGTTTGTCATGATATTGATATGTTATGTTCTGCCATGTTCTGTCATGCTCTTGCTCTGTTCTGTCATGTTCTGTTTTGTCATATTGTGTTCTGTCGTGGTTGTCCGGGGCGCGAGGCGGGACACCCGGGATTCTCGGGACAACTTGGGGTCTGGCGGCCGCGGTATGCAAGGTGTGTTCTGTTGTGTTTGTCGAGCGCGCGAGGCGGGATAACCGGGACACTCGGGGCAACTTGGGGTCTGGCGGCCGCGGTATGCAGGGTGTGTTCTGTCGTGTTTGTCGAGGGCGCGAGGCGGGATAATCGGGACACTCGGGACAATTTGGGGTCTAGCGGCCGCGGTATGCAGGGTGATTCTGTCGTGTTTGTCGAGGGCGCGAGGCGGGATGACCGGGACTTTCGGGACAACTTGGAGTCTGGCGGCCGCGGTATGCAGGGTAGGAGTGGCCGGGAGGTCTGTGTTTTTTATCTACAGACCCCAACCTGTCCAGTGGGGAACAACATTAAAAAAAAAACAAAACCAAAAAAAATATCCTGGCGAAGGACCCAACCATATGCAATTGTGAGTACCGCAATTGTGAATATCTTCTTCGGTGGCGCTCCCTATGGGGCCACGAAACGTGTGAAGGGTGTGCCGGCATGGGTGTGCGGGACGCATGCGGGCACACCCACTGGGACCTTCGGTGGAGCTCCCCATGGGGCCACGAAACGTGTGAGGGGTGTGCCGAAATGGGTGTGCGGGACGCGGTGGAGCCCCCTACGGGGCCACGAAACGTGCGAGGGGTGTGCCGAATTGGGTGTGCGGGATGCATGCGGGCACACCCACTGAGGCCTTCGGTGGAGCTCCCTATGGGACCACGAAACGTGTGAGGGGTCACGAAACGCGTGAGGGGTGTGCCGAAATGGGTGTGCGGGACGCATGCGGGCACACCCACTGGGGCCTTCGGTGGAGCCCCCTATGGAGCCACGAAACGTGTGAAGAGTATGCCGAAATGGGTGTGCGGGACGCATGCGGGCACACCCACTGGGACCTCGGTGGAGCTCCCTATGGGGCCACGAAACGTGTGAGGGGTGTGCCGAAATGAACGTGCTGGACGCATGCGGGCACACCCACCGGGACCTTCGGTGGAGCTCCCTATGGGGCCACGAAACGTGTGAGGGGTGTGCCGAATTGGGTGTGCGTGACGCATGCGGGCGGCAGCACTGGGGCCTTCGGCGGAGCTCCCTATGGGGCCACGAAACGTGTGAGGGGTGTGCCGAATTGGGTGCGTGACGCATGCGGGCGGCAGCACTGGGGCCTTCGGCGGAGCTCCCTATGGGGCCACGAAACGTGTGAGGGGTGTGCCGAATTGGGTGTGTGCGCATGCGGGCGGCAGCACTGGGGCCTTCGGCGGAGCTCCCTATGGGGCCACGAAACGTGTGAGGGGTGTGCCGAATTGGGTGTGCGTGACGCATGCGGGCGGCAGCACTGGGGCCTTCGGCGGAGCTCCCTATGGGGCCACGAAACGTGTGAGGGGTGTGCCGAATTGGGTGTGCGTGACGCATGCGGGCGGCAGCACTGGGGCCTTCGGCGGAGCTCCCTATGGGGCCACGAAACGTGTGAGGGGTGTGCCGAATTGGGTGTGCGTGACGCATGCGGGCGGCAGCACTGGGGCCTTCGGCGGAGCTCCCTATGGGGCCACGAAACGTGTGAGGGGTGTGCCGAATTGGGTGTGCGTGAGGCATGCGGGCGGCAGCACTGGGGCCTTCGGCGGAGCTCCCTATGGGGCCCGAAACGTGTGAGGGGTGTGCCGAAACGTTGGGTGTGTGACGCGGTGACGCATGCGGGCGGCAGCACTGGGGCCTTCGGCGGAGCTCCCTATGGGGCCACGAAACGTGTGAGGGGTGTGCCGAATTGGGTGTGCGTGGCGCATGCGGGCGGCAGCACTGGGGACTTCGGCGGAGCTCCTTATGGGGCCACGACACGTGTGAGGGGTGTGCCGAATTGAGTGTGCGTGACGCATGCGGGCGGCAGAACTGGGGCCTTCGGCGGAGCTCCCTATGGGGCCAGGAAACGTGTGAGGGGTGTGCCGAATTGGGCCTGCGTGAGGCATGCGGGCGGCAGCATTGGGGCCTTCGGCGGAGCTCCTATGGAGCCACGAAACGTGTGAGGGGTGTGCCGAATTGGGTGTGCGTGACGCATGCGGGCGGCAGCACTGGGGCCTTCGGCAGAGCTCCCTATGGAGCTACGAAACGCTGTACTGGGTGGGTGAAACGCAGGGAAGAGGGGGAGGAGGAGGGAGGAGGAGAAGGAGGAGGAGGAGGAGGAGGAGAGGAGGAGGAGGAGGAGAGGAGACGCGGGCCACCGTCTCTTCAAAACGAGGACGCAACACGACAGGATGGTTGGGAACAACAAAAAACACAACAAGCAGTTAATCATAAGAAGGAATGCAGGAGGAGGAGGAGGAGGAGGAGGAGGAGGAGGAGGAGGAGGTACTCGAGGAGGAGGAGGAGGAAGAGGAGGACCAGTGCAAACCCAAGACCCATCAACGATATTGTAACACACCTTCCAAGTTTCCTCTTCGTAGGCCCCTAAATGCGTTCTTGCTCACTGAGGAACGTGCCCCGCTGGATAACAATTCTTTGAACATCCTGAACTGCGCCTGAACACCGTTCTTTTGAATTCAACGCCGCGAATCACAGTTACGGTTGCGTCTTGAAGATCTTGATCTTGAATCGTCCGAACACCAGCCCTGGAACTTCAATACCACGAATCAGCGTAATTGTTGCGGCCTAGCAGTCCCACATCGTGCCAAAATACATGTTCGTATGACGCTAACCAGGAGAATCCTTGAAACGAAATTGTTGCAAACTTTTCAGCCGAATGTGCGCGGCGCTGGTGCGAGAGCCACATTTGAAAATGGCCCGCCTTCCATTCGTGACGCACTTGCAAATCTCAATGCAAATGTGCGTGGTGCTAAGGTGAGCGCCACATGTTGAAAACGGCCCGCCCTCCATCCATGAAGCGATTGGAAAGTTTCAAAATGAATGCGCGCGGCGCTCAAGGCGAGAGCCGCATCTTGAAAACCACATGCGTTCCATCCGCGAGACAATGTCACATCTCAAGCTTCAGTGTCATATATGGCTAGGAAGTCTCAGGCGAAACGTCCCGCCCGCCTTTTCGACCAGCCCCGAGGTGCGACAGGGAAGATTTGCTCATAAGAAAAGAAGGGAGGGAGGAGGGAGAGAGCGCGCGTGCGCGCTGGAGCTGGCAGGCTCCCTGCGAAGCTGAAAGGCCCCGAGAGGGAGGAGGAGGAGGAGGAGGGAGAGGAGGAGGAGGAGGAGGAGGAGGAAGAGAAGGAGGAGGAGGAAGAGAAGGAGGAGGAGGAGGAAGAGAAGGAAGATGCGACAAAAGAGACGGAGGAGGAGGAGGAATAATGATAAGAAGACGAAGACGCGGAGTAGTCGAAGGAGGAGGGAGAAGGAAAGAGGAGGCGCGGAAGAGAGGAGGAGTGAGGAGGAGGAGGAGGAGGAGGAGGAGGAGGAGGAGGGGGGAAGGGGAGAGGAGGGGAGGGGGAGGGGAGGAGGAGGATGAGGAGGAGGGAGGAGGAGGGAGGAGGAGGAGGAGGAGGAGGAGGACAGGAGGAGGCGGAGGAGGAGGAGGAGGAGGAGCAGGGGGGAGGAGGAGGAGGAGGAGGAGGAGGAGGAGGAGGGGGAAGGGGGAGGAGGAGAGGAGGGGGGGAGGAGGAGGAGGAGGCGGAGGAGGAGGAGGAGGAGGAGGAGGAGGAGGAGGGAGAGGAGGAGGGAGGAGGAGGAGGAGAACAGGAGGAGGCGGAGGAGGAAGAGGAGGAGGAGGAGGAGTGGGGAGAGGAGTGGGGAGGAGGAGAGGAGGAGGGGAGGAGAGGAGGAGGAGGGGAGGAGGAGGAGGAGGAGAGGAGGAGGAGGAGAAGAAGGTTGAGGAGGACGAGGAGGAGGAGGAGGCGGAGGAGGAGGAAGAGAAGGAGGAGGAGGAGGAGGAGGAGGAGGAGGAGGAGGCAGAGAAGAGAGGAGGAGGCGGAAGAGGATGATGATGAGGAGGAGGCGGGGGAGGAGGAGGAGGAGGAGGAGGAGGAGGAGGAGGAGGAGGTGGGAGGACGAGGAAGAAGCGAGGGAGGAAGGGAGGGAGAGGGAGGGGGGCACGCCAACCACAGCACCCACCCCCCTTCGGCGGCCCTCCTCTTGGCCATTCCGCCGGCCAGGAACACGAGGGCGACCACCACATGCTGTTCCGCTCGTGGGACAATGACACCTCCATCATGCTCCTTGGCATGATATCGTTTGTCATGGTTCTCTTTTACCTGACGAACTGGCCGGACGACGACATCCGCTTCTATTCCTGGCAGATCACTAGCATCACCATCTCCATCTTTTGCGCGGTGCTGACCTTCAATGGGTTCAATCAGCTCATACGCGCAGCCTTTGAAGAGCCTGAAGACATCCAGTCAACTAAAAACGCGATGATCATGTGCATATTGCATTTTATCCATTGTTTTATGTACCTCGCTCTGATGCACCTCGGCACCGGTTTCGAGTCTGGGCTGATTGGTTCGGTACAAGACGAGGACGCATTAGTGTCAGAGGCAGGATGGGTGTATGCTGATGCTCTCCAGTGCACCAACGACGAGCTAGTGCCAGCGGCGGATCTTTGCAACATCCGAGCTGTTTCGAGAGGTGATGACGATGCCATGAGAAGTGTGATCCTGATACCCGCGGGCGAGACGCAAAAGATGGAGGTCCCTGTTCAGAAGAAGCAGCACAGGCTGATCAGGCGCAAACGAAGGACGAAAGCTCTAGCGATGCTGCTCGCGCACATGGCGGGGTTCGCCGCGATCTTCTCTGGAACTAGCCTCCAGCGAGTGTTCCACGAACTCAACACGGGATATTCGGAGATCGTTTGTTGGATTCCGCTCATAATTAACCAGTTCGTGATCCAGCTGGCATTCAAGGTCTCAGAGTGCGTGAGACATAACACCGTAAAGTCACGCCATGCCAAAAACGAGCAGAAGACGTGGACCGACCAAGACCAGAAGAAGAGGGCGGAGGAGGGCCTAGAATTGATAGAGGAGATGATGACGGAGGAGATCGTAGAGAGCGAGAACGACGTCTCGAGTCTGTCCATGTCGTACCTCTTCGTGAACGTGATACGCTTGCTGCTGACCTCGGAGTTGCCAGACGTGACGGGCGAGGATCAGGGGCGACGTCAGGGGGGATAGGGCTTAAGGTGGCAATGCATCGACCCCTCATCGCCCACTGATCGTCGATACGGTCGGACCTGGGTATAAGATCCAGGCTGGTTCGGGGAGGGTGTCCTATTGTTCTTCGTGTGGGTTAGATGTTCGTGTGCATCCTGAGGGAGGGTACCCTCGAGTGATCCTGTGGTTTGGGGTGTTTTGGCCGGCGGAGGGCGTCATGTTCTCAAACATATTATTATGTCTGAGGTCCGACCGTAGGGGCCTGATAGTCCGTCTCGCCCAGGAACGTGGGGAGGGAGTCGTTATCGGAGGCCTATCGCTGATCTGTCGGCGATGTATCGCCGATTCCAGCTCGACGGTTCCCCCCCTTGGGCCTGTTCTCCGCTAACTTTGCCCCTCAGAGGAGCCTGAGGGATGGAAGCCGAACTTGTTCCGCCACGCCGTGGCTCTCTACGGGATCGGTTTGGTCCTGGTCCTCCTGGCTTGCGTGCAGGCCATCGCCATGCAGAAGTTCAATAAGCAGATCAAGGATAAGTCCACCCGCCGCATCTTGAATACCATCCTTAACGCCACGGCGATGTGCTTCGCTTGGTGTGTGCTCTGGGCGACGCACTGGACGGTAGAGTGGTGGTGCGACCTCACGCACTGGCACCCAGCCAGGATCGGTCGAGACGGGTGATGGGATACATTTCTTGAGGCGAACGAGGCAATGTCGTCGCCGACGACCCGGGAAATATCTGTTCCCTACCGGAATTCTGTCGGCCGAGCCAAACACCCATATCGGGGGCCCGTTCGACCCAAACGTGTGCGATTTCTCGACGTAACGATTTCCCCGTCCAAGCGGGCGTCTCTTCGTTCGCCTTCTGTCCACCAGGATGCGCCAGAAGGTTGTCATAGCCTTCGTGCTGACCGCCTTTGCCGCCGGCATGGTGTTCGCAGTGGCGCAGATCTCAGACGGCTTTGCTCTGTCCAGCGGTCGGGGCCCGGGGGAAGCAGGGTCGCCCGCGGGGGCGCGAGGGCGATCGCGCTGCGCGCGCCGCGGCCCGGGCGGGAGCGCTGCACTCCTCCAGGGGGGCCCCCGCGAGGGCGCGAGGATAAGCGGCCGCCACGCAGCGCGGGGTGCGACGCACGGATCCGGGCGGCCTGCAGCCTCCGGAGTAATGCAGAGCCCGGCCGGCCCGGCCGGCTTGTGCCGCCGATCCTGGGCGTTCTGGGACGCTCCGTGCGAGCTCGTCGTCCTATCCAACATCTTTGGCCCGTTCTCTCCTCGAGGAGGCAGGAGGGAGGACGAGGAGGGAGGAGAGGGAGAAGGAGGAGGAGGACCAGCGCAGACCCAAGACCCATCAACGATAATGCAATGAACCCTGTCTCCAAGGTCCCTCTTCACAGGCCCCTACAATGGATCACTTTCACTGAGAGAAGTGCCCCGTTTGAAGACAACCGTCTGAAAATTTGGAATTGCACCAGAACGCCATTCCTGGGAATTCAACGCCGCGAGAACCGTTACTGCTGCGCCTTGACGATCCTGAACCGTGCTGGGACACCGTTCGTGGGACTTCAACACTGCGAATCAACGTGACTGTTGCGGCCTGGCGTTTCCACATCCTGTCAAAACGATGTTTCTGGGACGTTCCCATGAGAATTCTTTAAAACTGCTGCAAACTCTTAAAACGAAATTGCGCAGCGTTAAGGCGAGAGCCCCATTTTGAAAAGGAATGCCCTCCATCCGTGAAACGTTTGTATCGTTTGAGACGAATGCGCGCAGCGCTAAGGCGAGAGCCACATTTTGAATGCGAATCGCCCTCAATTCGTAAAACGATTGCAAGCGTTTAAGCCGAATGTGCGCGGCGCTTAGGCGAGAGCCACATTTTGAAAGCGTGCCACCCTCCATCCGTGAAACGCTTGCTAGCTGTTGCAAAGAATGTGCGCGGCGCTGAGGCGAGAGCCACATTTTAAATGCGACCCGCCCTCCATATGCGAAACGATTATAAATTTCAAGTTTCAGCACCATAAATTGTGAGGAAGTCTCAGGCGAAACGCTCGGCCCGCCCTTTCGACCGGCCTCGGGGCGCGACAGGAAGGAGTTATTTATAAGGATGAGGGATGGAAGGGGGAGGAGGGTATCGGCAGTCGCCTTAAGCAGTCTGATTTGTTTAATGGAACGTCTGTCGAGCACGATGGCGGGAGAATTCGTTCCCTAACGGATTTGCTCGTTGTTGGGTCGTTGGGCTTGGAAGCCCCAGCCCCCGGCCCAGGCTCCGCTCCTGGGCCCGCCCCCGGCCCCAGCCCCGGCTCCAGAGTATTAGCAGACACCCACCCCCATCCCCCCCTGTCCCCGGCAGAGCCACCCCAGCAACCCCCTCAGCAGAGCTGAAGGTCAGCCTGTACCTTTTTGGAAATCGAACGCCGGATGGGCTGATTTTCTCAACGCCACACCGCAGACTGAACAATAATCGGATGACAAACGAATGCTGTTGCGCCCCAGCCACACGCATGTTATTGCGCCCCTCACGTATCTCCATTAGCCCATTCAAACATCATCGTGGCGAAAGACCCGACCACATGCAGCTGCAAGCATCGCGAGGCAGGTGAAAGGGACGAGGGGGTCTGGCAAGAGGATCGGGGCGTGGGCTTGGAAAGAAACGGACATGGGCGAACGGAGGGTTTTCTTAGTTTGGCGGCGTCCTCGCCAAGGAGCTGGGTTTCTCCAGGTTCATCCGCGAGGCCTGACCTGAGGAACGGCCCGCCTGAGTCGTCTCGCTTTCTCTCGACCGTCCAACTGTAGTTGTGACCTCGCGCCGCGGACGACCCGCGCGCGTCGTTGGAATCTTCTCGGACCGACCAGCACGCGTCGCGGGGACTCCCCTGCGCTGTGCCTCCAAGTGCTGCCCGACTCCCGCGCGCTCTGCCTGGCGCCTCGCCCTTTGTCAGTCACCCGATGTGTTTTTTGACCCCGCGCCGCGGACGACCCGCGTGCGTCGCTCGAACTCCTTCGGGGCGACCGGCGCGCGTCGCGGGGCGTTCGCGGGGTGCGCCGGATCGAACGCAGGCAAACCATGCGGAACTTGCCGTTGGGGCTGCCGGTGGAGTTCGTTACGGGGCCACAAGACGCGTGGGGGGTGCGCCGAATCGACCGCGGGTGCGCCATGCAGATCCTGCCGCGGGGGCCCTCGGCGGAGCTCCCTGTGGGGCCACGCAATGTGTGATGGGGCGTGCCGAATCGGGAGCGGGCACGCCATGCTGACCCTGCCGCTGGGGCCTTTGGTGTGGGGCCTCGAAGCGCGCGAAGCCGTTCGGAGCGTGCCGCTGGGGCCTTCGGTGGACTTCTCCATGGGGCCACGAAGCGCGTGGGGTGTGTGCCGCGTCGGGTACGGGTAGGCTATGCGGACCCTGCCGCTGGGGCCTCAGGTGGAGCTCCCAGAGGGGGGGCACGAAACGTGAAAGGGGTGAGCCGAATAGGACGCGGGCGCGCCATGCGGAACTTGCCGCTGGGGCCTTCGGTTGAGCTCCCCGTTGGGGCACGAAACGTGTTGGGGGGTATGCCAAGTCGGGTGCGCGTACGTCATGCGGACCTTGCTGGTGGGGCCTTCGGTGGGCCTCCCTATGGGGAAAGCATGGCTTCGACTCCAGAGGCAGCAAAAACGTCGTTCGCAGCCGCGCCGGACATCGTGCCCAAACGAAATTTCGGGGCTAGCGACCCCGATGGCTTGCAAGTGGCGCCAGAATTCGGCCGTCCACGTCGCAGGCGTGTACCCGCCGAACGGAGAGCCCCCTGGTACCATCGCATTGTCTCACAGAGGAAGCCAAGCGTGCAAACAGATGCCTTCATCTGTGCCGCACAAGCAAAAAGCACAAAGGGTGCACCGATCCATCCGCTGCTTTCGCCGGATGTGGCCATACATAAAGCGGCCCCCGCGATCTGTACAAGATCACGTTTGCACTGCGCGAGCAACTCAGAGGGCATCCGCAACAGGAAGTTGTATGCCAAGACTGCCATGATGCACCACCACTGTCGCTGGTGCGCTAGCGCATGGTGGAGCAAACGCCGCAAAAGCCGGCGATCCACCTTTTGCATCGGCAATCTGGGCATCCGGCATTTCGCTGTGCCGAGCCTGATGCCTGTCCAAATGATATGTTGGTCACTCTGCCATGGCACGCCGGCTACCTGGTGCGCCAGAGCCCACACGGTCAACCACCCACGCTGCGTAAACCCGCACGCACACACACACACACACACACACCGCTGCGACGCAGCGAATATGCTGCACACTGCACCCCAGCGGGGCCTCACCAATGAGCTCAGAAGCCCACGCAACCGTGCGTACTTATTATTGGACAGGTGGACGTCCTTCTTGATGAGCGCACCTGTTGAGCAAATCACGAAAATGATTCTCTGAAATGCAGAAGAAAATATGGCAATACAGAGAGTAGCGTATATGTAAAAACATAGACCACGCCACAATACCAAAAGTTATCGATTAATTATGCCTGTCGCTCAAAATGATAGTATCCATCTTCATGCCCCAGCTGACTATAGCGTCGTCCAAGGCCTTCGTGTTCCTTTCGCTTGTGGGCCAGAACAATCTGGCCTACAGCGGGTCTCTTGGCTCCTCGCAGGGCCGACCCGCAGCGATGCGAGGGTCGGTGCAGAGCCAGGCGCAGTGCTTCAAATCTCCCACCTGCTGGCCGCAGTACGGGCACCTTGGATCTTCCCTTTTGCTGACAGCAAGATGTGCTGGTGAGACCACCGCCCGGGTGAAGAGCCTGGCCGCTGGTGGCGTCGCACGAAAGTGTGCGTAGCATGCTTTGAGTCGTCTGGCGTCGAAGGCGATGCCGGAGCACAACTCAGAGTCGATGCGTCCTTTTTTCTCGAAGAGGTCGAAATGTGTTCCCTGCCACCCCTCGCGCAGGGCGTGGGCGAGCCGCTTCGGCGTCCGCCAGTCCTGGTTCGAAGTGTCCAAAGGAATATTTGTGCCGTCAGGTCGTGACCAAGTCCAGTCAGCATCGGTCTTTTCCCGCCCGTCTTGCAGCTCGTGCGACAGCGGTGACCGTCGCCTGCTGGATCATGATGTCCGGGTCGATCCGGTGCCCATGGATGAGCAGCCGGAGGGAGCGCGACGACGTTTTGGGAAGCTCCAGCGTCCGGGTGACGGCCCCGCTGATGGCGTTGATGTAATTCCTCCGTGGCGCCCCTTCGTGCCAGCCGTAGGACAGCGCAGTCATTGGGCCCAGCTTCAATTAGCGTTTGCTTCTCTTTCCTTCCCAGGGGCAACCCTGTGGCGCGAGTGATCTGTGCCCTCGCCTGTTCCAGCCTCGTCTGCTCTTTCTTTGTGGTCTTCCTGGCGGCCCCTCCTTTTACGGCGGCCCCCAGCACGTTGGCGATTGCGGTGTCCACGGCGAAACGTGGCTCCACTCCAGCACGTCGGAGCTTCTCCCGCCCCTGTGGCGTGCGGTGCATCCACTGCTATTTGGACTCGTTCTCCACCAAACCAAAAGCAGTTGACCATTCCTTCCAAAGTTCGCCGATACGGACACATGGCCGCGTTGCGCGTTTCCCACGTGCGGTCATCGACAAACAGCTGCAGTTTTGCCGTGGGCTCCAGGTGGGAAATGTGCAGGACATCCGCCAGCATCGCTGCGCACATCGCCATTGGACTACAAGGGTCACCTCGCGGTAAAGAAGTGCCCAGTTTCTCTGGCTCCAGGAGAACCGACCCCCCGAGAACCAACGTTCCTGTTGAGACCAACGATCATGAAGAATGTCATTGAGCAGCGGCAGGAATCCCTACGAATCGAAGACCCCTTGGACCAATGAAGGATGAATGCAATCAAACGCCAAGGAGAAATCTCAGGTGCTTGCTGACGTACTCGTCGTCCTCAGAAGCGAGCAACATCTCCAGGAGGGCGTCGTGGGTCTCGGCCTTCCTGCGTGCTCCATACG